TAATAAGGGCCTTAATAGTTAGAATAGGGTTTTGGGGCCCATTATACAAAAGTTATAATAAGGAACCCCCAAAATCATGTAGGTAATTATTAAGGCCCCTGTGTTAGGGTTTAGGGTTTAAGGTCCCTGCGCAACCTGCGGGTGGAGGGGTTGAGGGTTGAGGGTTTAGGGCTTAGGGCTTAGGGCTTGGGGTTTAGGGTTTAGGGTTTTTTTTGCATGCCCTTTTCCAACTCCTTTAGGGGGCAAGATATACGACGTGTGACATAGCCAGGATCAACACCTGGGAAGCGAGGCAGAAGAATCGAAGCACCGATGGCCGAAACAACCGTCAAACAATCAACGCAACGGTCGCTTGGGCGACCGGACAACCCCAAACCCCCTGACTTCAGATTCAGTAGATCCTCAGACCTACAGCCCCGAAGCCTTAAGCCTAAACCCTAAACCCTACACCGTAAACCGAAAACCCGAAACCTTAAGCCCAGAAGGAACCCTAAACCCTAAACCCTAGCACCAAAGTTGCCTCCTGGAGCAGACCTCGTCCATCCTCGGAGATCTCTTCCGCTTGGATCCTGGGCTACATGCGTTCAGGGTCTAGGGTTTGGGGCTTGGGGGTTTGGGGTTTAGGGTTTAGGGTTTAGGGGTTCAGGGTTTGGGGTGCAGACGTGTTCTATTCTAGGGGTCTTGGTAAGTAGGTAAGTAGAACAGGGTTTTGGACAGTGTGCCTATAATAAGGAACTTTAGGGGGAACAAGAGTAGCAAGTATCCAGGCATATATTCGGGGCTCTTTGCTTCTGGGGAGCACGGAGGACAGACTCAGGTTGGGGGTTGAAACTGCGAGCTTTCTGTAGGGAAGGTTTTGAAAACGAAGCAAACTGGGTTAAGGGTTTAGGGCTCAGGGGTCGCAATCCTGAGTCCGTCAGATGACCCAACACAGGGGGCCTGAATAATTAGAATAGGGCTGTGGGGTATATTACGGTAACATTTATATTTTGGAGCACCCAAAAACACTATAAGTAATTATTAAGGCCCCTATAGCAGATAATCCGTTCTCTGAACCGTCAACTCCAATCTTCCAGTGGGTGCCGGGAGGGGATGAAGCCATTACTGCCACCTTCGGCACTACTCCTGAGCCGATTCGGTAATGTAGGGGCCCCTACACTGACGCGTTCCCAGCTTTATCCAGGCCGCAAGGCTGTTGAGCTTATAAGAATTTGAAGGCCTCAAAGCAAACCGAATGCTGAGCCGGAGCTTTGGCCAAAGCGTCTCTTGCTCCGACATGTTGTAAGCATCATAGATCTTCAGATGCGGAGATTGACGGTAGTGGCTATAGTCCACGATGGTCTGAGGTGTGGCGCGGGCTTCACACTCATCTTACCCCGATTCCTATTGTCTCAGAAGTTAGAGCTTGGGGGCTGCAGTTTCGAATCGGCTTGTGAGGTGGATACCTTGGTTTGGCGATTCATCGATTGTGAAGGGTTTGGTGCGTGGGCGCTTCACGCTATGGCAGCATGTTCAGATGGCAAGGCAGATGGTTCCACGGGCGGTGCGATACCAAGAGCACCGACATATGAAGGTTTGTAACCGCAACACACAGCCGACAGGACACACAGCATGCTAACCATCCTACCCAAGACCCGAAACCCCAGAAACCCTAAACCCTAAACCCTAAAACCCTAAACCCCTAAACCCCTAAACCCCTAAACCCTAACCTTGAATCCCTAAAACCCTAAACCCTAAACCCGAAACTTGTGTGTTGGCCTCAGCATGTCACTCCCTCCGAGGCCTTGCTCAGGGACGGCCCGTTGCTCCTCTTCTTTTTCTTCGCCTCCCTTAGGTTGCGAGGAGGACGCTAGGGCTCCAATTACCTAAAGAGGGTTTAGGGTTCTAAGGTTTAGGGCATAGGGGTTTAGGGTTGAGGATTTTTGGTTTAGGGTTTAGGATTTAGGGTTTAGGGGTTTAGTGTTTAGGTTGTTTATGTTTTTTCTTAAAGCTGAAATGCACCCTTTCCGTGTCAGAACGAGCGCTGTCGGCCCTCAACTCGTCAAACACCCCAAACCCTAAACCCTAAAACCCCAAACCCTAAAACCCCAAACCCCAAACCCTTAAACCTTAAACCCTAAAACCCTAAAACCCCAAACCCTAAACCCTCAAACCCTAAACCTCAAACCCTGTGCCCCCATGCGAAACCTCCGACTCGCGAATCAGCAGGTCGGCACCAGACACTTGCTCACCCTCATCCACAGGGGTTCAGGGTCTAGGGTTTAGGGTTTAGGGTTTAGAGTTTAAGGGTTTAGGGTATAGGGGTTTAGGGTTTAGGGTTTAGGGCTGTCATGCATGCTGGTTTTGAGAGGGTTCAGGGCTTGGTGATGCTAGCCAGAGCCTCCAAAACCCCTTAATTAAGGAATAGACCTTAAATTACAATAGGAACCCTAATAAGATTTAAGGTATATTCCTTTTTTAAGGGATATTGGAGGCTCTGGGTAGCTAGTTCAGCATCTGTGGTCTGCCTTGCCAGTTCGCGGCACAAGGCGTCACAGTGCAGTTTAAACTCAAACTCACTAAACCCTAAACCTTTAGGGTTTAGGGCTTAAGGCTTCGGGGTTTTGGTTTGGGCTTAAGGTGTACGGTTTTTAGCTTTAGTTTAGGGTGTAGGGTTTTTGGGTTTTGGTTTAGTATTTGGGGTTTAGGGGTTAAAGGTTTAGGCCCAGGCTACGGCAGAAGCAACTGTGCCCACGTGCTCCCATGGTTTGGCCCTGCTGCAACCCGACCAGGAACTTACCCGAAACCCTGCGCTTACCTTCTGGGGTCCGTTGGGCCGGCCTGTGCAGTGGTGACACAAAGGGACTTCGATCTAGAGAGAAGCCCCCATGAGACAAGAAAGGGAATGTTGGGGTCTAGGGTTTAGGGTCGGAATGTTGGTATCATCTTCCGACACAAGCTCTGAACACTACACCGCTGAATCATGATCCCCAATATTCGGCCCGGACTTGTCCCGAGCCCGAGCACTGGCTGCAGTGATTTACGAATTTGATTCAAAGGCCCATCAACAAGAGATCCCCAAATTTCCCAAACTCCCAACTTTCGCAAACTCCAAAAAGTTCTGTAACTCCCAGGTCTTTATCCTTCCTGGAGGCTTGGAAGCAGCGAAAGTGTCGTGAGGCCCAGACTTATCCTGCACCACGGTAAACTCTTCCACAATTTGCTGCCTCTCAGCCGTAAAACAGGATTGAAGTGGGGGGTTGTTCATGGTATAGGGTTGAGGGTTTCGGGATTTGGGGATTTAGGATTTAGGGCTTAGGGTTTATGTCGTGCCAACCAAATGATATGATATATGGGAGTTTCCGAAAATAAGGGGTACCTTATTTTGGGGTCCTTATAATAAGGATCCTACTATTTAGGGTACTATATTAAGGTCCCCTATTTTCGGAAACCCGCATATAATATCAATCCCAAGGTGTACCCTAAACCGCAGCTCGAGTTCCAGGGCCTAGCCGATTTCCTTCGAGCTCGGATTGTATCTCCATAAACCCTGGGTCTTTATTAGGGTTCTTTATATGACTCCTCATATTCTTAAGGTTATGGGGCCAGGGTTTCTTTACCCTAAACCCTACCGTGGCATGAGTCGAAAAAACACGCGAGCTACACAAGTTGGGATCTTTTCGCGCGGTGCGCTGGGATTCAAACATCATCACACCAGCCTACCGGCACAAATCCACCTACCCAGCGCCCTCCCACCTGGCAACGTTGATCACGCGGCCGTTCCTGAGTTCAGAAACGCAGACAAAGCCTTGGCAAGCCTCGCCTCACATCTCGTGCACGGCTCGCGGACACATCCCGCAAATGCAGACATCCCACTGCCTAAGTCCACCCAAGTTTACCAACATCAAGAAACAAAAAGGCAAGCCAAGACACACGCACAACCACACACACACACACACACATGCATGCATGCATACTTTCTCGCCCTCTGCGTCTCGCTCCACTCTGCTTCTCTGTCTCTCCTTTTCCATGGAAAACCGATTGTGCAAAGCCACACAAAGGAACTGGCAGATGAACTATGGCGGGAATGCGATTCGGATCAACTGTCACCACACAACTGTGGAACATATCTCGTGCCTTACTGCGACCGCAAAACCCGTTTTGACACACTGCTGTGGTAAACTCAAGCCTCTACTGCGGGCCAGCTCACCTAATTCACAGGACATGGCTAACATCAGGAGAGGATCTCATCTGTTGCCTGTGCATTCTTCGCTGCCTCGATGTCTGGGATTTCATCCTGGCAGCTGCCCTAGCATGGAGGATTCGGCGCATCTTGTGGGGAGGTTCAAGGCCCACCGTAGCTGCCCCTGTGACTACATACTGGCATCGCGGCTCCAAACCAACCCAGAGTTGCCTCCTAGGTAGCTGTCAGTACTTCAAGCACATGGCTTGGCGTTCGGCTGCGAGGTTGGGAGTCACAATTTTTTTTCCATACGAATATTAATACCGAATGTTCATACTACCACTCATATTAATATTTATACGAATACTAACACTAGGATGCGCAGAAATGCGCCGGGTCTGCTCTTATTGTGGTGTCTGCGGGGCTGAAGGGCTGGGAGCTTTGGTCAAATGCCACAAGTACAAAGCACCGAAGTCCGACCGACCCCATATTTTGCTTTCACACTCATGCACAAGCCCAACCTGAGGCTATACCCCAGTTAAACCCATAGTCAACACTGATGCAGCCCTCTTCCCCTCTTGAACCATGCATCCCTCCAATCCACTTCTTCTAGCGGTCCCCCGTACAACAACCCCTGTATCTGGAAATCACCACGACGATAATTGCAAGCAATGCGTTAAACCGGATCTGCGTGAGGCTATTAATCAGCACATGACCTGGTGTGTTATTTTGGGCTTCCGAGAATGGTGAACATGCGTGGTCAGCCGGCGGCAAACTGGTTAGAACATTTCACATGTGGGTTTATCACATGAAGCTCATTCGATTTGTGGCAATGCGGCTCAAGAGGACGAAGCTGCAAAATCATAGAAGATTTTGCTCGCTTCGAAGTAGATGCCAGCGATGATGGAGTATCGACGCAGCAGCATTATTCAGCAATGGTTTGTACGATGGGTTGGTACACGCAACGTGGATGATCATGGATGTCTGAACTTTCAATCATATCCACATGTTCGCAAAAATTCTGTCAAGAAGCCAAACCTTCCCTCCGTGGTTCCCATGACCCCATGATCACATCCTTGGGCAACTGTTCCGGGAACTGCCACACCCAGAAGGTTTACAACACAAACTGCCACATGAATACCTGGTGTTCATGCCTGGCTTATTGTACAGCATGAAATGAACGATGAAACACCAAATCTCCGAGCTTTGGCGCGAGTACTCAATGAAAAGATAAGTACGAATTCTGTTGAACAACACGCCACGACCAAACGTACCAAACGTCATGACACAGGCAAAACCACGACAGAAACGTATCCGGCTGGACAGGCTTGACAGGCTTCGGGCTGCTGTAGAAGCAACGACCCAAATATCCTGTGAAGACAATAAACAAGTGTACTTCCAACTGTGTGGGGCTATTTTGGCCAAGTTGATACTTCGAAGTGTATGGGACTGCTGCGACAATTCTATACGGAGCTTGGGCGCACAGATTTTACTATGCTCAGTTTTGTTGCGACGCCACAGCGAAGAAAAGGTTCCTGCTGTAGCAAGCAGAAGAAGCGTCCAGAATGGATATTCACCTTTGATCCTCTTGGTTGTCGTGATGAAGACTGAAGAGCGTGACAGGGACAAAACCGGGCAATGCCACATCTGCTGTCCCAAAGATCTAAACGGGCAGCCGTTACTCAAGTAGCTGGGTGCGGAGCCGAAGTCTGAGAGCAACGCCATGATGGGATTTGTTTACAACACCCACATCTGAACGATGCCGTGGTCCTCCATCAATGTCAGTCAACACGGCCGTGCGTCGCGTGCCTGCCAAGTTCTCCGCAAGCTAGAGATTCGGAGGCCAGTGAAAGCATACAATTCATGTACACGACTTCCTTTCGAGCTGCCATGACATTTCACACAGTCAACCCTGGAAGTCCTGCTTGGTGTTTCTCCCAAGTTGAGGTGCGAGCCGCAGGTGTCATGTTTACGAAAAAGGTGCTCTTTCGTCTTCCTGCAATCTACACAGGATCCGGAGCTGACAACCCCAAGCAGACGCAGGCCACTAGTTTGCAGAAAAGGTCGGTTGACCGGCTGACGCCTCAACAACGTGATTTCGGTTCTGATGCATGGAGGCAGCGAGCATGAGACGAAAAGCAAGTGCCAACCATCATTTGGTTGCACTGAAATCATTAAATGTTCCAACAGCAGAATACGGCAATGCATGGAAAAGGGTGGACGTCGCGAGTACTGTGGGCTGTACCGACATGGAGCTGTGTCACGGTGGCAAACATCTTGCTGAATTGAAGTTGCCACCATATAGGCAATGGGTGCTGCACGTTTCACCGACTTAACCTAGATCATCGAATATGTCAGCGAAGTGCACGCATCCCTTCACTACGACTGCTGCAACAGGGCTGATGCACGGGACATTGCAGCTGCGCTACTGGAACATGCTGCATAAGGAAGACGCAATGCGGCTATGCGCAAGGCAGAACCAGAACTGTTGGACATCGCAACACGCGGTTACACGGCTGGCTGTCTATATCTATGGCATCGACAGCTCCTTCACGATGTGACGGCAGGCCACATAAAGCTGGTGAACGCGCAACTTCCTCCTCAACTTGGGAAGCATGGAAAAAATCACCGCGTGCATCTTTGCTAGCCATGTGGAATATGCCTCGAATGCATTGCAACTATCGCACCCGTGCGATGACCACTACACGGATGGGCCCAAAGACCTATGCTCCTAATTATTTTTTTGACATCATTCCTTTGAAACGGTCGAAACATATGCATCTACGACGTGTGCTTATTTGTGACGCAATGTTTTTGCCTCGACTCAACAACAAGGCCGTCGCGTCGAGCTCGAGCCGCATGCTCATGAACCCACGCACGCAAAGTAGACCAACCTGGCCTAGCAAGGTCGACCGCATCATCTCCACGACGGCTCCGTTGCAAGGGTTTGCAAGATCGAAACCCACAATCAGGTCTGGCAGAGTTGATGAGCAGAGTTCGTCGTTGAAGCAGTTATGGTAATTGGTTGGCTGTGGGAGGTCTCTCTACGTTGCACAAGTAGCATGCAGGCACCAAACAGCAGAAGTGTAGACAGAGTGGTTGTTGAAAGCAGCTGCAATGTTGCACATGCTTGTGAATTCTGTTTGGCTTCCGACCGCGAGCACATATGTGTCGGCATGTGTACATACAAGTACATTCAAACATACAAATACATAAGCAAAGATGCACAAGATGTGAACATACGAGTGACTATATATATATATATTTATGTATGTACACATACATCTGTATATCTGGGTGTACATATTCATTTTTGTTTAGAAAAGAAAGTCGGTATATTCATATACATATATATATATACCTTCATGCATATATTTCTTTATCTGTTCATGTATCTAACTATCTGTCTATTCTTGTATCTACTGAGACCTTTCTTTTTATTTATCTTGTGTTCATTTACTTTTCAATGTATGTATCTATGTGCTTCTTTATTTGTCAATGCGTTTTTGTGCGTTTGCACAAAGAGTTATACATGTATATACATATATGCTAACCCCCCCCCCAAGAACTACCACGAGGTGCCGCGATAGCTCCACCAACCCTCCCAGGT